AAATTCAGAACATGATTTCCATGCTTCAACGAATTTCCCAAGCAATGATTTTTCTGGAATCTTATATATTTCAACTTCGGAGAATTTACTTTTGCAAATTTTTGATCTTGAATTTTCTGATGCGGAACAATAATTGGAACAACAGTGATTGTTTTCGCGACACTGGATAAAATAAGACTTGAATTATTATCAGATTCAAAACGGAAAAATACATTAATCATACGTACCTTTAAATTTTCTGATAAGCATTTTGGTTTTAGTATTTCTCCCGTCACAGATACTATGATAAGTAATTTAAAAAATATAAAAACAACATGATTTTTTACTCAGTAATTTTTGCTATTTACTGCGCGTTGTATGTTACTCACTGATTTATAATTTTATATCAAAATTTTTTCTTTAAATCTATATATATATAAATTAATTATTAGAAAATTATCAAAAAGACATAAAATTTAATGACTTGATAAAAATTGTCGGTGTTGTTATTTAAGAATAATATGCAAGATATGAAATTTAATCTCAGATGACCTGAAATAAATTTTGAATAAAAAAAATTTTCATTTATATTTTATGCCAACACTTAATTTTTATAAAAATCTAAAAATAATTTTACTCAGAAAAATCGTTTAATTTGACTTATTTTCTAACATGATTAGTAAAAAGTAACCATAATTTAAAAAGTTATTTACTGACTTTTTATCTTGCAAGCAAGCCAACAAAATACTTTAATAACAGTCTCGTAAGATTAATTTTTGTCTTATTGCGTGTTTACAAGAACGTAAACGAATCTAATTCCTTTTGGCCGCTGTTACGCTTAATAAACGGAATCTCTTGGTGAATTTTTTTCTTTGTGAGTAAAGAGCTTAATTTTTATTTCCCGAAAGAAACTCCAACATCATTTAAAACTTCAAAGTTAAAAATTGCATCACAAAACGTATAAATATTTGCAAATATAAAAGTGAAATGTAGAAAAAGAAGAAAAGCAGTTTGGTTAAGTTTAAAAGGATCTCATAAAACAACTTGACATGGAGTACAAAATAGAAAGTCAAGAAAATCAGTAAACGCATAATAAAATACAACAAATGTTATTATAAATAGATCTCGTCGTATTCAAAGTTCCATAAAAAAAGTCAGGTTTAATTTTTATTTGTTGGAGTCATGACTCGACTCAATATTATTACACCGCGGACTAACCCCACAACTGCTTATAAATATATATATATATGTCATTTGAATTAGTAGTTAACTCGAAGAATTATTTTCGTATCATGAAATCATCTTCAAGAAATATTACAGGATATCTTAACGATATATTTCCTATGATTTTATTTATTTGAAGTTTACTTAAAATATCATTTTTAATTACAAGTTTGAGCATCCTGTTTTCGAAAAAAATAATCAGTAAAAAGTTCACAAGAGGCCAACAATTACTAACATCATAAAAATGATTAAACTTTCAATAACAAAGTTCAAGTATTTTTGGTATTTTATTGATATCATAACTACGCTGTAAAAAATTTTTCGTCATTGTGTCCCATAATAAAATTAAGATGAAATGTATGTGAAACCAATTTATTCGTGATGTGATTGGTCGAAAATAAATATTCTCATTCTGATTGGTTGAAAGTGAATATAATATACATAAACGACACATAAATATATCATGACAAGAAATATGACGCGCGCGAAAATTAAATTCTAGTAGTGTAAAAATTTGTGTGTATTAGAATATTACACTCTAAGTGTGTAGAATTTCACATTCTCATGTGTTGATTTAACACACCAGATTGTGAAATTCTACACACTAGAGTGTAATATTCTTATACACACAAATTTTTACACTTTACACAATGACGAAAAATTTTTTACTGTGAATTTTAATAAATAATGTTTTAATATAATTTATAGGAAATATCTCGCGATACATTTGCAGAAAAATCCGATAAAATAACAACTTTTGAATCCTTCGTTGTCACAAAAGTTGTCACGTTATGTGCATACAGAGTACAAACTTAGACGTCATAATATTGTCGGTAGGGATTTGTGCCATTTTTAAAACTTTTCCCGTGAGTCATGTTTCTTTACAATTTTCCAAGTCTCATCTCATTTTATGCGTAGTTAGACTTGTATACTTACATACAATTCTAACAGTATTATCGCATCACAAAGACCAACTTTATAAGGATCAAAAAAAAAATAAAGTAAAAATTTTTTATTTTCTTGAGAGTTTTGTTTTTACTTAATAAATTTTTAGCGATTAAAAAAATTTTAAAAACTAAAATATGATCTTTTCCGATAATTTTTCGTAATAATTTATAATATGTATTTTTAGTTCCCTTTTTTGAGTAAATATTTAAGTTAATTAAATGAACGCGAGATATATATCTGATATGAAAAAAAAAAAAAAACATAATAGAATAAAAGGTATGACATTTAGATATAGTAGATATAAATATACACTGTGGAACATCTGTTGGTGCTTTGACACATCAACAGACTTATGGTCATTTCAGCTGGTTTGCTTTTCCCTTGTCCACTCTACACTACTCGTTCATTTTATCTACTCGTCAGTATTAAACCAAATATGTGATTCATGATATAAATTCACGTACGACTGCACTTCACTGTCTGGTCTAATCTTCCATAGATGACAGTTTTACTTTTACATTTCATACCAACGCACTGTCATTGTCAATGTCACTGATGGAGTTAATGTAGATGATAAATATAAATAAATAAACATATCAACGACAACAGAAGCACTGACAACTGTTTCTCACTTTTTATACTCTATAATTATATAGCTCTTTATCTTCCCCGAAAATTCGTTGATAATTTAATTTTATTTCACTATTAGAAGCCATCACTATTGTGCATCTCTCTGTCATCTTTTATTAAGCGTGCCAGAAATAAGGTCGGGTGCAATTATAAAGTCGTTAGTCATTAATATTAATCTATTAGGTACTTATGTATTTAATTTTCATTTTTAATGCATCAGATAATTTTTATAGATAACAGTTTTTATAGTTATTTTAGTAAATACAATAATTATTACATCTAACTATTAATCTAAACTATTTTTTCTATTATTTCTTTTTGTGAATTTAAAAATAACAGAAAAAAATCAAAATCATTTATTTTACTTTTGTCATTAATAAATTTCGTCTAAGCACAATAGTAATAACAAGTAATAATTTAAGCGCCTCAGCGCAATAAGCACCCCGTTGCGTGGGGTTTGCGCAATAGACCGACAGTAACCAAGCCTGTCGGATGTAACGGTGGCGTAAAAAAGCCCCTTTTAGGACGCAGTACATTTAATTCTGGTCATATAATATGATAGATAATACAATCCAAGTACACAAGATGGAAGCGGTCATGAGCTGTAGGGAAACTTCGGGAAAATCAACGGGGTGCCAATGATCAGCACACGTCGCACGCGTGATCACGGATGTCCCAAAATACGAGCTGTTATCGAGAGGTCCTGTCAATAGACATAGATTTATCTGTTCACATAGAACTCTATTATGTTTTTTTTTTCCTTCACTTCCATTTACATTCAGTGGTACAGCGCATCAGTTTATTATTTTTTTTTATCGGGCTTACTACGATCTACTAACTACGGACATTTAAGACTAATGACCCGTGAGTTTAATCGCTTGGAAAAATTATTTTTACTCGTTAGTTATTACGAAAAAAATTAAGTTAACATTTAGTGATTCTTATAATGATTGCTTGTCGATTCAATTATTAAAAACAGTTATTTTTTGTTCATCAAATTAACAAGACACCCTCATTCAGATCACTGATATATTGCATTAAATAAACGAGTGTACACGATTTAATCCACTAACCTTAACGACACATTGCTTTTTGTTTCTGAAGTTTAGTTTCATCCCGAGTTCCATACTGCGATAATGGCTCGTAAAAGACGTCATTAACAGCTCAACAAATAAAGCTTATTACCCTCGGAACTCACAACTCGGAATCACAAATCTTTACCAGAAAAAAAATAAGCCATTGACGATTATTAGTAGCTGACGCCGATGTGACATACTGTAATTACCCTTACGCCCTTCCTTTTATCCGTCTCTTCTTTTTTCTTCTCCCTCAAATACTCAAAACAGCTGTCATATGGTACAAACACTACACCTAAAGTTCTGTCTACTGCTCTGAGTATTCCCTAGTGTCTTTACAGTCTGATTTTAACTCACACTTTGATCTAAATGTGAGTCATTATGCACATGCTTTAAAGTGGGTCAAGAAATGGCTAAAAATAGAAAACAAATTAGTTTATTTCTAATTAATAACAAGAAGCGTAAGTCCATTCAAGATCTTCATTGATAAAAAAATTAACTTGATTCGAGAGGAAAAATCATGACCCAAAAAAATCTTTGAGAAGAATTTTCTTTTTAGTTTCAGTAGACTTTCTTAAATGAAAAAAATTTTTTGCTGAAATTCAAGGCAAATCTTCAAAAATAATTTTCTTCAACAAAAATAGAAATGTAAAAGTATGGAACTTGTACAAAAGATGCCTTACTCAGTTTATATTTACTTAAAAAAGTGTTTTATCTTGAAGATCATAAATCGGTATACGGTGTAGCAAAGAAGGAACTTTGGTTTCCACACAATTTAATAACGCTCGCCGAAAATACAAGACCTCTGTAACCCATACCTTATTCTGCTTATTCTTCACCCTCCTCTTATATCTTACTGTATACATATACTCACTGGCAGGCTTGTCTTTTACTTCCTGCTGTTTTCCTCAACTCATTCCCTGATCTAAGAACTCACGCTAGCACAGCCCTACTCTACCATATATACATGTATTGTATAGTATACTTATAGTACATACCTACCAGTACACTCTATATAATAATACAATGCGATAGGATAGTTGTTGCTCGTAGAGCCTCCCAGCTCGGGGAAAGCACTATATCATAAAACACTTTTGTGTGTTGGCTGTTCGGCAATAATCGTGGTTCGTAAAGTTCAACTAAATGTTACGCGGTCCAACCGGGTCGCCGAGTAAGATCAATTGTTACGATGTCAGAGAGGAAAATGAGTTTGGTGAAATGAGCAGCCAAGTAAAATACTATTGTTTATTACACTCGAGCAGGGACAATAATATTTTTACTTTAAATGTACCGACCAGTGATAGCTATTCGCCTCAAATCGAATAAATTTTTTATGGCGTTCGTTAATGTTACACTCGATGCACGCTCAATGCTTTTCCCCATTGTATTTATTTATATTTATGCTTGATTATTGCTACCATCCTTCCGAGAGATTAAATGTTTTGCTTTGCTTCATTGGTGTAAAAAATTATGGTTATCGTTTTATCGGTGATTCTTAACAGCAGTTTGTTGTTATAGCTCATCTTTAATCTTTAAGACAAAGTGTGGGTCGAATCTTAATAAAACTTGGCATATATTCAGACAATTATTCCTATTTTGTGATTTCTCAGACAATTATTGAAATTGAGTTAAATGTATAAGCAAAATTAGGCAGTATTTTATAAAGTTAAAAAAATAAGTACCACTAGAATAAAATAGTCATTTTAAAAATGCATTCTAATCACGATTGCGGGCAATAAATAATTTATTGTAATTTTTGGTCCGAAAGAACGTCGTAAGCAAAAAGAATGGTAGAAGAAGTGGAGAAAGCAGATGTCAGTATCAAATACGCGGTGCTAAAGAATTATCTGTAGATAGATAATATATAATAGGAAGATATGGAATGGTCACCCCGCAAATTTATGAGGCGTTGTCGTGGTCTTGCAAGGTCGTATAACGAAATTTATGAACCGCATCTTTCCGCACCCGCGCCGGACGTGGTACATACGATCAGAAAAACGCCCGTTTTTTTACCACGTGCATATACGATCAGACTCAGACAATACAAAAAATCAGAATACAGAACGAATTTTATGATTAAGTAACATTCGGATCTCTGTACGTGTAATATTTTTTTAACACCGTGAAAACTTGATTTATTTTCTCATTCTGCTTTTAATTTTTAAATTCACCCGAGCTATCCAGCTGCCATTTTCAACCTGTCATATTCATATATTCATATAAAGTGCAGAAATTCATTAATTATGTAACAAATTGTCTTCTACTTCGACTCATTTTTTAATGAACTGTTATTGTGAAATTAATGTATAATTATAATCAAAGTGACATTACTATCCATTGAAATTATCTAGTCTCCCGAGATTTAAGTAAATTGACGTATATTTATTTAGTTGGGTTTTTACATGACGTGGTAAATTGACAATAAAGTGATAGTCATTGATATTCATTTAAAATACCGCAGGATTTATTGCTATATAATTAATTTAGAAGTCTCTATTTGCACAAGTTTTACAATGATATAAATAATTATTAAAATTATACAAATAGTTAGACGGTTATTTAATCTGTTTTATCTATATAAAGACAATGTAGACATATTACAAAATCATTATTTGGTTTCATTTTAATATTTTGTTTCAGTTGACAAACCTACTTGAAATGAAAAGTAACTATTACGTAAATTTTTATTATTATTTTTACTAATATTCCCGATTCATTTTTTTAGATTCACTTTGTATAGTTATTATTCTATTCGTTATTTTAACTGTTGGTGCATCTGAAGGTAAATTTTTTATTGCTTCGAAAGTGACACTTTTTTGCTCTTCTGTTTCTTATTTAATATTTTGATTTTGGTTTTTTGAAATTTAAAATAGATGAAGAGGAACAGTTTTATGAAATCGATGAATCTAATCTTATTTTAAAACAACTTAATCCTCTTGAATCTGACAAAAAACTATGGCTCAATCCATCGGATGATGTGTTAATTACGACAAGAACAAAATTGTTTAACGCTAGAAGAGATACTATTAATATAGACTTTAGAGAATTGCCGAATGTAAGTTTTTATTTAGGAAAATTTTGAAAAAAATTATCATTTGATTTTTTTTATAATTATCTGTAATTAGTTCTATTGATTTTTCTAAGGCTATCGGACATGTTGTTCGCTACACTCCAGAATTGAGAATAGCTGATGCTCGATACATTACACCAGATTTTGAAAAACATAAAATAGTGGTAATCATAAGTGACTTTTAATACAAATTAATCAAACAGTATTGATTTGAAACATCGATTTTTTATTTTTAGAACAATAGTTTTGAAGAGTTACGAAAATTGCCAGATAATTATCCTACTATCGTTTATCCAGAAATAATGGTTGTTGTTGCATTCGACTTATACGAGTAGGTTAATTTGAATGTGCTAATCAAAATTTATGATTAAAATTTTATAAATATAATTTACAGAAAATTTAAGCTAAACCCGTGGAAAATAATTCCCTACTTACTTTCCTTTTGGAATTCTGTTGACATGCGATACAGATTTTTGGAAAATCCAAGATATAGATTGAACATCAAACAAATTGTTCTCGAAAGTGAACCCGGAATTCTGAGTTACATAAAAGGTCATATCAATAGTACTAATTATCTTTCATACAATTGCTTGCAAGACTCAACTAAATTTTGGTACGATCAAAAAGACGTTATTCCGTTAGATAGTTATGATTTGGTCGTTACTATGACTTAGTAAGTTTTATCGATTTCGCTATAATAGGTTTAATCATTTGATACTACATTATTAATCTCTTACTTTTTTTTCGTCATCAATAGTCGCAAAATTTGCGGTTTTTATAAAGTAGAAGAGGAAAAATGCACTCTTATCGTTTATGGTAACTATTCAATGATAATTTACTGTTAACTTGAAAAACTGTTAATTTATAGTTTAGTAACAATGTTTTTAAGGTCAAGCGTTTCTATCCAATGCTTGCCATATAGATCATGAAAGAAAAAGCATTAAAAAAGTAGCGATAGTCAATGATAATGGTGCATATTTTGGAGTAACAACTACTGCCCATGAAATCGGACATTTGTAAGATAAATTCGTTTTTTTAGTCTAAATTTAAGAAGAAATATAGTCATTAATTTAAAAAATTTCAGACTAGGAGCTTATGATGATGGATATAGTTTTATTAACCACGAAACAAATACAAATGGTATTAAATTCAAGAGTTCTCCTATAAAGTATTTTTTTTTATTTTTAAATTAACAATAACTTTAAAATCTTCAGGTCCTAGCCATTGTTCTTATCAGGATTCGTTCATTATGAGCCCGACGATTCAGTCATCGGCAAATATTTTTAGTTGGTCGAAATGTAGTCGAGAAGATATGGAAAAGTTTATTAAGTATGGTCTCGCGTAATTATTTAACTGACAGTGGATGCTTTATCAATGGTCATTTTTTAGAAATGAATCATCACAGTGTCTTCGAAATAAGCCAGATGGTTTTAAGTATCCGATTGCTAGATTTTTACCTGGTAAATTAATGGATGCTAATCAGCAGTGTCAACGAAATGGTGCTACTGGAATTTGTGGTGTAATAAATATTAATTCACCACATTATTATTTTCAATTACCAAAAATTTCTTTACTTAACATTGCACTGATGATTTATTTTACAGAATGTAACATCAATTTGTACGATGCTGCAATGTCACTATCCAGAAAAAGGCTGTGTTAAATCAAATGTGCCAATTGCTGATGGAACCCTGTGCGACCCAAATGCCATCAATGATGTGAGTAAACAAATCTCAAAATAATATCAGTAAAAATTAAATATTTTGCATGTTTTTTCCCAACAGATTTGCCTCTACGGCCAATGTGTTCCTCATAATTATTTGAATTAACTGCTCTCCATCAGTCTATCAGTCACTATTCATAAGAACCTTTTTCTAGATTTGATAAATAATCGAACTTTATACAAAAGTAATCCGATTGAAAATTAAACCCAATTAGTAACGGCATCCATTAGGATTTCTTATTATCATTCTAACAAATGAAAGAACGTGATGTACATGGAAACAATGAATTTAAAAATGAATTAACTCCATAAAAGTTAAATATATTTTTGAGCAAACAAATATCATTAAATTAGAATGTATAATATAAAATGAACAATTAACCGTTATCGTACTCTGCGGATTACTAAATGTTCCATAGCGGCGTTCTCATTTTAATAAGCCTCATTTTAACAATGAGGGTGTGTATACTTGAACATTTTCACCAAAGTTATATTGCATGCTTCTTATTTTACTATCTACGTATATACAAGGGTGAATAGTGTGTTCATTTACTAAGAACGTCTAGGGCATATAGTTATATAGTTACCATTGTTCCCCTAAGTATCGTGACGATTAGCAGACGCCCGTTCTCAACTGCTAGTGCTAGTGTTGTAGATATTGTTATGTCCTTTTATTGCTCCTGCTGCTGACATCATAGATATGACGTGATACTTGTTAGTTGCCACATGCCTATTTCCATTCTTATGATCTTTTCGTTCATAGTAATAATGATAGTGATGAGTTCTTCTACATCTCACCCTAGATGTGTCTAAAAATTAGTTTCAGTTTCATCATGGGATCTTCACTGCAAATTGAATCGACCTATGATAATAGGCTTTAAAATTATGACTCTAATTTAACCCATTAATGCTTCAATTTTTATAAGAGACTTAGAAATTTTGAGATTATCATTCCTGAAATAATTAATCATGGAATTAAAAAGTTATTTTTTTAAGTTTAACTCGAGCCGAAAAAATCAGCTTAAGTAAAAATAATTATTTGTTAGAGAGAAACAAGTTAACCTTGATTTATTAGTAGATTTCATAAAAATCTAACTATTGTATTTGTCCTCATGACGTAATTTTCCGTTAATTTTACTATATTTCGATCTAACTCGACAATCTGAGTCAGAAAATACATATGGTTCAAAAGTTTATATATATATATATATATAACGCGGCTTGTCACGACGATAGTGTCAACAATTCTTAAGAGATCTCAATTAAACTCAACATACTTATTCTATATCGACTATTAGGAAGGTCTAGTTCAAATATGAGCTTAATCGGTCAAATAGTTTAGAAATTACACCAGTTCAAAATTTTGAAATTTTGAAAATTTGATACTTTCACTACTTTTCCTTCAAAAAACTTTTGAACGCGTCGAGTTATTCGATTTCTGTAAAATGCATCTGAAAGCTGAGAAATTAAGCTTCAATTTATGTGCTCACATTTTTTTCTAAAGCAAAAAAATATCGATCTTAGTATCATTTTTAAGAAATTTTACTCTTGCAGTCGTTTTGTCTATACAGAACTGACTGAAAAGTACTGAAGTACAATAATTTTTCTCTTTCTTTATTGAACGTTATTTATTTTTTTTTTATAATTTTAGTTGTTTTTGATTCTTTTCATCATGAAATCTACTTCCATTTCGGCTGCCGAATGGCCTTTTTTTTATTATCAAGTAATCAAATTAGCGACGAGCAGTATTTGAACTGTGAGAGAAGTTAAGGGTGAATTATCGGGAGTATTATTTAGCTCTATTTTATAGGTTATAAGATAAAATTCAAAACAAAATAAAAAACGTGACAAGCAGAGAAGATAGTAGATAGCTTTTTACTTAATTTCTGCAGCCCAGGTGTTGGAGGACCAGAGGATTATTGGGTAGTCGTCCCTAAATAATCAGGTTTGGTAAATTTATCGTGAGAAGCCATCCGGCGAGGTAATAGTCCGTGAACCTCCCAATTTCGCATGACTTTCGATAGGCATTCCGCTCAATACCAAATATATAGATTTGGCACTGGTAGGGAGTCGCCAGATAGAAAATAAGATATCCTTTTTATGGTTATCTTCGTTTAACTCGGGCTCGAACGTATTGATGTCGCTCCTCTATCACTGGCAGGCTCTTATTGTGACTATGCCGGTTTTCCCATCACCCCGGTCCCTGGTTAGGTACACAACAGTAAAGATGGATGAAATTGGATCGAAGTGGCAGGAAAACGCGGCGAGATCACCACCGATAATAAAACTAGGAAGAAAAGGAGAAAATAAGGACGGAGATAACTTTTTTTTGGGTGAAGAAGACGAGGGTGGACAAGACTTCTGTGCATTGCGTCTTCTTTGCCTCCTCAATTCCCTTTGCCCATTTCTCGATTCTTTTTCAAATCCTCCCGCGATACCTGTCGTCTACTTCCCATTTTCCCAAGAGGAATATGTTATTAGGCCTTTAGGATTATGTACTTTTCGATATGGGATAGAGACTGAACTTAACGTCGAGGGGCTTCTCCAAAAACTTCCAAGGATCGGCTAAATAACAGGAGGAAGAAGGAGCTACCGAACAAGATGAAGAAGACAGAATAGAAGAACCTGAGGAAAATGTTCCATGAAGAGGGTTTGAATTTACGTCAACTACCAATTTACTATATCATTTTTTTATGTTACTACTACATAAAAAGTTATGTTTATGTATTCAAATTACAAAACTACATTAGATTTTTCACTTTCGTTTTCTTGTTTACTTCATTTTTTAATTCCCAAGTATGTACTTGTACTATTAAGTTGTTATTAAGGTTAAGGATAATTTAATTTTTAGTCATCTGTAAAGAAAAATTTCTGATATCGCTATATTTAAAAAACATATTACTTTTGAAGAAACTCTCTATGGTTATGGTCATGAATTGAAGCAAATTCATCCATATTGTCAATAAATAAAAGAACTTGCTGATTTATTTGTCTGATGTTATATATATTGTATATTATATATAGAAATTTTTTATGATATATAAAAGAGGAGCAATAAAAGTGAGTTAGAATGGTTTTGTTGAACTAAAGGCCTTAAGTTGAAGGAAAAAACTCAAAATAAAAGATACTTTACCTCAAATTCGAATATAGTCTCTTCATCCACTGATACGATTCTCTGGGGAGTATAACGTCGTTCGAGTTCGTCGAATCGTTAATCCCCTCAGATGGGGGTAATGTCGAAGCACACATATACTACATATGTGCTGCTCTTACATGACTATTTTTAGTAGCGAACGTATTTTGCTTTTCCCATTATATCTTGCTAAAATCTTCATTGATAAAAGCGTTTCTGTAATATAACTGATAATGTAAAATTTAACTTCTAACCACCGAACTCGTTGACGGGCGGCGGTGGATTTTCAATGGAGATCTGGAACAGTGATATTGTTTTAATTTATAGACTTAGAAGGGACCGTAGAAGTTTAAATAGTTTTTCGTCTCATTGATAATGTTCTTCTTCACCAACAGATTGAATTGGATTGAATTGAATGGGCACGGGTGCAGAAATGGTTTGGGGAAAGAGCGTAATACCAGATTGTAAGTAATACTTCATGCTCCTGTCTCTGACATACTGTTGACGCTTTATCGCCGGCGTTTTGGCACGTGAACAGCTGTTCAGCTTTACTAAATTTGCCTCGATTTCATGCCAACGATATAATATACTATTTCAATTACAAATGTCGTAATTCAACTTGAATTTTTTAACTTTCTTGTGAGGCTATTGAAGATTTTTTATAGTACGCGAAGAGAATTTTATAATAGTCTAGGAAGCTTGTATTCTAGTTTTAAATATATCTACATTATATGATAATTCCTAGGTAATAATAAAACTTAGGGCAATGTTGTCACCAAACTAAGGAAAAAAAAATACGAACCCTCATCCCCTTTTTTTTGTTGTACAAAACCACTTTTAAAAATCAATTAATCAAATCCTTGAAATGAAATTTCTCCATTAAAATTCTTATTGTCTTTGGTAAAACTCTCTCTTATTCTTCACCTGAAAAATGTAAGGAAATTTATCAAGCTCATAAAAACCCGAAATTAATCAGTCGATAAAAAATACTCTCCTGGAACGACGATAAATTCAGAGATTTTTAATCAACGAAAGTAAACAATCGGTACTCGTGGATGCATATTCCTCCTCATTAAGCTCTCCTCCACAAAATAGGAAGGAATATTCGAAAAATGCTGTCGAAAACTCCCAAGTGTCATCAAGATGATTGATACATAAATCCCGACACTTAGCGATGGATTTTAATCTCGACCATTTGTTTTTTCTTCGCATTTGCTTTCGAGATTCGAATCACTTGATCGAGCAAGTAAATTTGTCCTTTCCCGAGCTCATCAATTCTCATCCGGAACAGTGTCTCGTCTCATCTTGTGTCTCGTCCCTTTTATGTGTCGTCGATAAAAAAATGGGCTATAAAAACAAACCCAAAACATCTCCAAAAAATCCATAAGATGATTCAGTGCCCGGCAAAATCTACTCCTACAATAGTAAAGTATCTTATAGATGTAGTTTTTCTTAGATAAAAACAAAAAGGAAAAAATAAAGCCATTAGTATTGATCTTTTAAAAATTAATGAGGGAATCAGTGACTGGAACGCGTCGTTTGGGGCGTGCACCGACTATGAACAAAACTTTTCCAACTATCATTTGTTTCGCAGGATGCCCCTTTCCCACCCTCGTCCTTTCTCCTTTCTTTACCTCTACCCCACACTCTATAACTATAACTATATTACATCATATGATAGTTATATGATACTGTAGTATACAGCCCCAATGAGCAATCGTCGCTCCTTCGGTGTATATATATATATATATATATATATATATATATATATATATATATATATATATATACATATATAGACCTACAGCCCATGATCAAATATTACTACTTTATCTTTCTTATTCCAGTATTTATAGCAGCAATCATAAATGACCAAATAATCGTCATCTCGAATAAAATAGAAATAACTGTCGTTGATTTTCGCCAGATACTTATAATCGAGTGTCATGAAATATTGCCGGTATGCATGACTA